GGCAGAGTATGTTGGTCCCAATCCACTCCGGTCTTTACGACAACTCATGATGCAGCGCACTATAGATAGGCGGCTTCTGGAGGATTTCGCCACGGAAGGCATCTAGCGCGGATTCGATGAGCTGAGGGGTTATGTGGGAGTGGAGGGCACGCTTGAGAATGCGGCCGGTGCAATCGTAAGTATCGGTGCTAGCACCGAAGAGTGCTGTCGTTTCATACGTTTTTGTGCAGGAGATGAGGGATGAGAGGGATTTTGTACCGGTGCCTACGCCAATCACTAGGACTCCGGCTTCAGGTCGACTAATTAGCATCGGTATTTTTTAAAAATATTTTTTTTCCCCGAAGGGAACCGGTTGAGGGAAGTTTATATACTAGCGAGAGGATCAAGAGTCCCGCCGTGACCCATTTTAACTTGGACCTGGCGGGGCCTACGACGTCGCTGGCGTTGGTTCCTGGATTGAGAGTCGAGGGCATTTTGCTGGGCTGTTAGGTCCGGCTTGAACCAGGCGTGGTTACGGAAGATGACTTGCAATTGTCGGATTACGGCTGCTGAGGTCAGGCCTTGGGGTTTTTGAACGGCTGGGATAATGTTTTAGCATTTCGATATCGGATGGTGGCCGAGAGAATCGTGTAGGGGGGAAGGGGAGGTTTACCAAAGAGACCTTGTGGCGCCATTGCCGTCCTGAGTATGGGCGGTTGTGAAGGTAAAGATGATGCGAGGTTGGTGGTGAAGGTGCCAGTGGTGGTCTGGTGGGGTATCATGCAGGCACACTCGCACCTGTGGTTGAGGAGGAAATTAGCCAGTCACGTGCTAGGGTTGGAAATTGAGATGTCGGTATCTCCTTGTATGATAATGGTAACTTTTAGATGCGTCGTCTGAGGTGACCGCCTGTGATTGTGCATGATATGCGAGGTTACAAGACATAGACGAGAGGGTATACTCGAGTACTCGAGTATGATGCTGGTATTCAGGGTGGTATCATAGACTATCTATCATAGGGAAGGCAGGATCAGGATAGAGCGAAAGTATCCAGCATCAATCAAGGCCGCTTCCCATCCCTAAACCTATATTGAAACACTGTGGCTAAAGTGTTAGGAGTACCAGAAACCAATGTCTGGGAACCACCCTAAGTAGAGTAACCCCACTCAGAATTGGAATCTCTGATCTCCAACACTCCCCTCTGGCCCCCTTATAGTGCCTATACATCATCATACATATCTATCTTAGTTGCATCCTGTGACTATAATGTTACAGAATTGAAGGTGTCAGAATAACACCTTATATATTACTAGCATCTGTCCAACTAGATTCAAGTCATAAGATATATGAGAGAAGAGCTTTGTCAAGGTCTGGAAAGTAGAACAGAATAAATCCATCAATTACCCAGAGAGTTACTAGGCTTTAAAGATGGAACATCTTTGGCATAGGTAGTAAGTAATGGAACATTTTTACACAGAGATATGGTATTAAATGTTAGAGGATTTTCACGAAAAATCAATACAATCAGATTCACTCTGTGATGATTAGAAGAGTTTAGAACTCAGGGGAAATTGTAAGAAAGAAGCCAACAGACTTCACAAAGTGTTACAACTATGTGAAGGAATATGTTGTGGTCACGGGAATTATGACCAATATCACATGTTGATTAAAGACCTGTTACTTAGGACACTCAGGAGTTACCGGCAAAGGGATTATATTAGGAGAAAACAACCTGGTAGACTACAGAGTTGTTTAGGCCAATCAAGGTTCGTTTCTGTAGAAGGAGATTGTCTAGAAAGGCTCAGATTACACTTGTTCTATTTACAACTACTAAGAGCGAAGTAAAGTGGGTAAAGTAGAATCAAATTGTGAAACAATATTATATTGTTAAGGTTTCTTCTCCATTGCTTGATGATGTTTAAAAGATTGAAAGGTGCTTCGATATTTATATTCTACATCTGAGTATTTGTGGACTACATCTATTGATTATACAACTATATACCTCTTTTATTATAACTCATGATGTCAGGTATCATTCAAGGTGTGAATACCTGGAGACTCTGAAAATCACCACATCCTCTTCTCTAATTGCATTATAGCTAACTGGGAATCATGTTGTTACCGATCGTAATTATCCGATTGTCAGAGTCTTTAGACTTATGGCCAAGTTCTCAAGTCTAACTGAGTTGGCCTCAGATGTCTCCATCATTGATGAAATGATCAGTTTCATCTGCAGATTATATCTGTGAAGGTAGTCATAGTCGTAACCTTTCTCGGTTGCCTGACATTAAATCTTCATAACTCCCTACCCAGTCTACAGATATCTTTCGGAAGACTTCCTACAAATTCGCAAGAATCTATTGCACCAGATTGAAAGGTAATCCATTGGCCGGTAACTCCTGGTTGCTTTAGGTAAGAAGGGTTTCAATCACCATTCTGGATTCGGGAATTATTTCTAGAGCCAAAACGTACTTTGAAACCCAGTTGTAACACTCCGTGAAGTCTATTAGCTTCCGCGGTAATATTCTTCAGTGTTCTAGACTATTCTGGTTATCGTAGGATAGGTGTGAATGTATTGGTTTCTCATAGAAATCTTTTTTCAATTGATATCCTCTCTTTGTGTGAAAACTTCGATTACTTACAATCTGCGCTAAAGATAGCACATATATGCAGCATAGTAGCATCCTGGATAGTTGATATGTTTACTCTGTTCTACTTCCCAGACCTAGCGAAAGGTCACCTCTCATATATTCGGCGAATAAGATCAGGTGAGATAGACGGTGGTGATGTATATGATGTTTGTCTTATACCTTCAATTCTGTGGTATTATAGTCACAGGACTCAACAGAGGTGGATATGTATGATGATATGTAGGCCCCTTAAGGGGGTTGGAGAAGAGTATTGGAGACCAGGAATTCTGATTCCAAGAGGGGTTACCCTACTTAGTATGGTTCCTAGGTATTGGATCCCGGTATTCGTAACCTGAGCTCCCTCCTCTTAAGGCTTTACCTTGAATGCCTTTTTGGATACATATAAAATAAATTAAAAATTAAAATTAAATTAAAACAATTAATTATTAAACTATAAATATTAATTGCTTTATGACCCAATGGGAGCAGGGTAAAAAAGCTTCTGTGTTTGCTTGGCTAGGAGAGGAAAACTGTTTCCACACTGTCCTTCTTCTGTCCACTGTGGCATTTCCGGATTATCACAGTGAATTTCTTCCACTATTCCCCTCACATTATCCATACCTGTGGCAGGTTCCCCAGTGTGCTTATCTTTAGAACATTCTTGTCATTTAACTAAGTACCATAGTTGGCGTACCTCCTGGGACTGACCGTAAACTCGGTTTGGGTAAGAGCATATCTTACTTTTTATGTTTTTGTCTATTTCTGCTTGCAATTCACCCTCAATATCCGCAGGCTCTCTGGCAGGTTATTATCAGTCAGCATTGAGTGACTCCTTGTAAGGTTCTATCAGACATATATCGAACACTGGGTGTATATTCCATCGGTGTAACGACGCCTTCTTGGATAGTTAGTTCTTGGCGACAGGGAATGATACTTCTCTTTTTCTGTTTCTTTTCTTAGTCTTACGATAGTACTTGGCCTCTGCCTGCGTTACTAATAGTACAAGACCTTTGTCTTCTATCAGGAAGGCCTATTGTAAGCTTTCTCTAACTCTTCTTTATGAAGAGCTCTTCTTGGTGTAACGATAACATTGCAATAAAGATAAAGATCGTAAAGGTGTTTTATATTCGTTAAAGTAATATGTAGGAAAAGTACTTAGAATTCAATCTAATTTTATTTAAACTCGTACCGCCAACACTGGCATACGACGAGCCCCCGCTAGCACAAGGATACCGCTAACCGGTATACCACTAATTCCAAGCTAACTAGGTCTACAGCCCCACACCTGCCATCCCCGAGTCATGCCCACACGAAAACTAATTACAAGACCATCAAACAACCCAGTGTCTACCTCGGTCCAAGTCTGTAGCCTCTCTGGTATGAAGCCAACCAGCACTAAGTGTAGCCGAAGCTGAGCAAAAGACTGACCCAACCAAGTTCCTTGTCCAACAATCAAAAAAATCACTACCACCTAGTCTAAATACCATCCCGCAATACCTCCGCCACAGTAGAAAACTAAAACAAAACACAGAAACTAAAGCTACAGGCGAAACAATGGCAGGGGGGAGGTAACCAACATGCCCACCTCTCGCACCGGCATGGCCAGCTGTCGACCCTATGAACCAACTTTGCCGGTTGCCGCTGAGGAGAGTGCCAGTAAGGAGGACCTGTACCTGCTGCCTGTCCCCCAAACAAAAACCACTATAAACAAAGGAAATTAATAGAGGTGGTGACAGACCGTGAAGATCAGTGGGGCCTATCTCCCACCCGTAGTGCCTTGTCTCCTCCTGCCGTACTCAGAACCACACCAAAGAAATCAAACAAACCCCACAAAGCCCAGCACGCAAGACCCAAACAAGTCCAACCAGGTGGTCGCAACCCACTATCCCCACAGGTGGCCATCAGCCAACCGGTCCATCGGGCAGCTTTACAGCACTCAGCAGCTTCACCCAACAGCTCAAGCTGGACTGGAAACACTTAATTAGACCTCGCCCAACCTGACGCAGGCCCGACCGGTGCTTGCAGCCACCTCTCCCCCCACAATCAGCCCCTCCAAGCCCCATACACCAGGTGCCGCCGAGCCCATCCAGCCCCCCCAGTCCCTCAGACAGATCAACCATCCGATAGCCACGGGACAGTTAATACCTAGCCCTATCAAGCAGCCACTGGTCTTGGCCACCCAACAGAGCCCCATCCCCCAGCTTCACATAGCCGAGTAGGACCCACCAGCCACAGCCGGGAGCCACAAAGCATGTGGCACCAGTACCCAAAAGCACCGGCACCAGCCACACTGTCCAACCCAGCAGAACTAAAGTTCAATCAAGTTGGGAAAGAGTTAGGCAGAAATAGCCTAAGCCAGCCTCACAGGTCCGAAATCCCAGACCAAACAACTGGCAAAAGGCACCCCTAACCGACATGAGAGGGAGGAGGAAGGCGAACAAACAGAAGCAGACAACCAGAAGGTAGGCCCCACTTGCAATGGATGAAGCCGCCAACCACAATCCAGTACTGAACCACCCAACCACACAGACAACTTGAGTGTCTGGCAGCTAATCGTCCTTCACCACTCCAGGCAGCAATGAAAAACCACGCCAGCGGCTATGTCTTTTTCAGGGTTAAAGCCATCCCCAAGGAGGTGAGTAGGAGACACCTGACTTAATCACTGTAAATGCCGCAAGGACAAAAACTCCAAGAGAACGGCGATAAACAACATTGTAGGATACTAACAGTAGAAACAAAAATGTAATGAGGAGGGGCTGGGCGGGTACCACCCTGCCACCTGAGAAATGATGTGGCTGGTACAATGAGTTGAAACTTGGAAAGGCCATCAGTCTAAACCCAAGGGCGTTTTATATCGTGAGAACTAAGAACTCCATTAAAACCCAACAAGCAATATGAGCTGGCTGAGAGAACGACACGGGTGATCCCCCCAAACACAAAGTTCAATCCCACCAATCGAACGCAAAACCTGCGAGTAGACAATAGACAAGAAGCCAAAGACTTTTTACTGAAAGGGGCTCGTAAGCTACCGTAATGAATAGCTCGAAGTGCCAGCATCGTGAGATCACCAGCAGGTGACGAAATGAGAAGCAAACAAGTAGTCCGCCACGTAACGCCTAACAGAGCTCAACGCCAATGACCCCAGGAACTAC